CGAGGGGACATAGCTTTAAATTGAGGGGTGATAGATATAGGACAGACTTCAGAGGTCGGTTCTTTACTCAGAGAGTAGTAAGGGCGTGGAATGCCCTGCCTGCAAAAGTAGTAGACTCGCCAACTTTAAGGGCATTTAAATGGTCATTGGATAAACATATGGATGATAATGAAATAGTTTAGGTTAGATGGGCTTCAGATTGGTTTCACAGGTCGGCGCAACATCGAGGGCCGAAGGGCCTGTACTGCGCTGTAATGTTCTATGTTCTAAGAGATTAGGATGCAAAATGGTTGCCACATTGTTACGTGAAGGCAGCTAATGATCAGCTAGCAATGTCTTCTCAATGAAGGTAAAAATCAACTATGGCACAAAACAGAACCTCAGATAATTCAAAGCTTGTCATCACAAAAATATGCAACCTTTTCAAAAGCTGCAACTACATATATATGACATTTGATACAAAATTCCTCTTAGCATGTTTTTAATGAAAACAAAATTTAATTATAGACAACAGCTTATACTCTGTATCGTAATGAAACATGTCAAGATGCTTCACAACAGCATCAAGCAAAATTTAACAATGAGCTATAAGGATATTCACAAACAACCAAATGTTTGGCCAACAGAAAAGTGTTGAAGAAGGAAAACAAGGGAAGTTGAGTGTGGCAAAAAAAATTTGAAGAAATTTCAGACGACATCGGTTTGTCAGCTGAAGGCACAGCACAAATGGTGCAAAATTAAAACCAGGATGCTCAGAAGATCAGAAGTGGACCAGTATAAATTTCTCATAGAATTATAGACATCAAGAAAATTAGTGATAAAACCATACAGGGATTTGACAACAATGTTGAGAATATTAACATTAAGGTGTTTGCTTAGCCAACAGCCAATGTGGCTCACTGAGTACAGGGGTGATGGTTGACTGAAACAGGGCTGGCCACATAAGCAGAGAGTTCCTACTATCTCTGAGTATTGAATGAGGTCAAGTTTCCAGAGTGTAGAAAGTGCAAAGCCGGCAAGTGTGTTAAAATGATCACATCCAGAGGGAACAAAGAACGAATGAGGGTTTCAGAAGCACACGAGCAGAGACAGAAGAGGAATCGAGATGATTTACAGAAATAAAAACAGATTAGTGTTAATTGATAACATGGCTTTTGCATTATTAACTCTCAAGCAGTTACCAGTCTTTACCAAGACTAAAAGCAGAAAAGGGGTGAGATAGCAGTCTTACCATTACACTAAAAAATTGACTTTTCTTAAAAAAAAAGGCAGGAACTCTAAGAATCCACATGAAAATCATTTGATTGCAGGATACAAATGACCTATCTTTTGCTTACCGTATGTTAAGTGACAGGAGAACAATCAATATATCTAATAGTAGACGTTCACCACCTTCTCTCATTTTCCCACCTTTCCAATCCAACATGGCCAGGATTCCCTGGCTGAGGAAAAGAACCACATCATCAGGAGGAGGAGCACTATAAAGTTGCTCACAACTCTGAAATAGCCATTCTGGTACATCACGACCTCTTTGAATGGAATTAAACAGCAGATCATGAACCTTCAAAGAAGATGAAAAGCAATTAAGGTATAAAAATAAAGAGACTTCTTTAAAATGGTCAAAAGTACAAAAGGATAGATCATCTCACAGCATATGATGTTAGTGATATCTTCCCCCTACCTTTCAGCTCAAAGGTTTACTCTGTCATAACTTGCTATGGATACACGCTGAAAATGGTATTGGGACAATGGTGAGCAGTAGGACCAACAGTGCATCTACGCTAAAAGGCAGAAATTCCAATCATGTTCCAAATTTACAATGCTTTCGTGACCAATCACCCTCACTTGCAGCCTTTACCCATTCAAACTAAAGCCAGTTAAAACAAGCTGCACCTAGGTAGAGGTCAAAGTGTCCAATTTTTAAATTAACTATCCATCTCCAACACCACACCCCGACAAATAAAAATCACTTCAATTTCCCAACTTGCCCTGGAGTTAAAATGACATCCACCATTTCAGGCAGGAGAAAAATCTTTAACCCAACTAGCTCACAGTAATCCCTTGTATCATCATATATTGATTTAAGTTGAATGATCTGGTATGATAAGGCATTCAGGTCATACAGAAAATTATTCTCCATTACCACAATATACAATTAAGTTCACCCAGAGATAAAATTTGGGCACAGAATTTTGAAGTTTTGTTTTAGTTATGATATCCCTGTAAGAATTGTTAATTTTTTAAATTTTGTATTGTTTATTAAAGAGTATAAAGAGACACTTTGAGGAAACGTTAATATAGTGGTAATTTCACTGGACTAGAAAACTAAAGACCCGGCCCAATGCCCTAAATCAATATCAAATGATCACCTTCCAGAGCTTTAGGTCAAGGACAAAATTAACGGCTGGGTCTCCAAACAGCAGACCCACTCACCAATTTTGGCAACAATTCATCATGGTCCACAACAGTCTTGATAAAGAGAAGTGCAGCCATCCCTGCTGTATTCTGAACAGTCTGTAAGAAGTCTCCTGAGTGGCAGGAACAAAACAAGAAGTGGGAGAAAAGGGACAGGGCATGCAGCCAGCCTTATATATCTGTAATAAATCATCTGCTTTAATTTAAGAGGAAAAAGCATTTATTGTCCACTGCCAAGCTTACCATCTAGGAGTATTTCAATAAAGCACGTGAGCAGCCCACACATAGTTTTCCGGAGAGACGGCTGAGTATTTCTACAGAGAATGTCACGTATTTTCTCTTGAACTTTCTGAACAAGGACCATAGCAGTTTTCAAGGCTGCCAATAAATCATGCATCAGCTTGTTTTGCAGAATATGCTGTCCACTGAGGTTCCTAGAGCAAAATTAAATACCAGTCATCGTTTAACCCCAAATAATAATTTTAAGAAATTATTATATCTGTTGCCAAAAATTTCTAATTTAATAGTCTAGGTTTAATGAATCAGGCATAAATGCTAAATTTACAGGCTTTCCCCAATAACTGTGTTTCAGATCAGAAACGAATGCAATAAAATACACTATGCCTGATCTTAAACAAACTTGGATCACAGCGATTTAAAATTTTATTTGGAATTTGACCTTAAATATGATTACTCTGCAATTATTGATAATTGTATTCTCATGTAAATGCACCAAGAAACTCAAAGGTCATACAACACAGTAGTGGCATATTTACATTGAGCAGATGATCCACAAGCAAAGCTCCTGGTGCATGATTATTCACCCAGTTTGAAGAACCAGGGAAGGTATTTTCCGAGCAGCAACAACATAAAAACAATCAAATATCATTAGCAGCCTAGATCATCCAACAGGAAGAAATTAATTGCACCAATGTAGAGGGGAGTTGTGATTCAGGACTATGACGAAATGCCAACAAAACTGACTCAGTGGGAAGCAGAAACTTCTGATAAGCAATTATCCAACTTCTGAAACATCCATAAAATTCTCCAACTCTCAGCTGGAAGCAGAGTCTTCAAATGATTCCAACTCACTGACCAAAATAGTTAACCAGGAAAAATTAGAAAAATTGTAAATTCCTCCAACCCTTAGGTAACTACAGAACTGACATCTCAGACTCACCACTGACAGCTTTCCTCTCCTTGGGACTCCAGAGAGGCCTGAAACTGCCAACTACTCTGATCCCCAATTCGCTATAGGGCTTCCAAACACAACCACACCTGATCCCTACTCAGATCAAAGAACTCCATCAAGCTGTGAACCCCTGCCAGACCCAAGTTTCCCTAACTTAGTCTCAACAGCACAACCTCCTACTGACCCCAGCTTGAAGCCACTGGTCAAATACCCACACCCTCAATCAAAACTTCATGGACCCAACTCCCCCAGCCAGATCCACCTTCCACACTATGCGCATCCCACGTAAACTGCACCTGCACCACCCACCCCACACCGACTTCGATTTCATATGTCTCTCAGTAACTGTCAAAATTGCTTAAAGACCAGTAAATAACAGCACTTACTGTCTTTTTTTCAAAAGAATGGATCTTTCTGCTGCTGACTGCAAGGGTTCTTGGACTCATATGTGCTTCATCAGATGGAAAGTCCCCTCATCCAGACACTTGCCCAAAAAAGTAAGTTGGCAACTTTTGGTCTGATCTGGATTCGAAATAAGGTTTCTGACTCAGATTGGAAGATTTTTGCTAGTAGTATGAACTGCATTTAATTAATGCTTATGGGCTTTTCCCAATATTAGTGGAAGTTTTTGCATACATATGTAAAAATGGAATAATCAGCTCATCACAGCCAAGAAAACTGCATCAGTTCATGCTACTCAAGCACAATGTATACTATCTGCACATGTATAATACCTGAAGTAGTCTCCAACCTAGTCAAGACATTTTTATCATCCCACCTATAATGTAACACCCTATACTGAGTCAAGGCTGCCTACAGCACTTAACACAAATGCAGAATAAAAGAACTGTAGGTTTGCAACCAAATTCATTAATTTTACAATCATGAATCATAATCATTGGTGATTTTTGCTTAATTTAGATAATTTGATGTCTTATCATATCTGCAGCCAGAAACAAAGATACATTTTAGAAATACTCACTTATTTTGAAGCTTATAATCCATTAACGCCGTATGCAGAAACTGAAGGACTACAAAGTAAAATAGAAGCAGTTACAAAAGCAAACTTACAAATTACTTCAATGTTCTTTATGCTAAACTATAAGCAGTCACATTTGTGGTCATTGACTATTTTTCTACAGAATGGATTTGGAAAGGGTTACTTTGAATACAGGATGTCTTAATCACAGTGTGCACTCTCAGTATTTTACAAAAGATGTCCCAGCTTGAAAGGTGGTTGGTATATAAAGAATAATTAGTGGTTACTTCTCCAAAGTTGAAATAACAAAAAAATTCATGAGGATTCAGAATGGCACTATCATTAGTGTTGGAAAGCCCCTTGATTGGTCTTGGAGAAGGCTTTTAGGAACAAATGTGGTTCCAAGGAAGATAGTCAGGGTTTCTGAAATGGGCAACTACAAGTAGCAAAAGACAAGGGTAAGAAATTCCACCCAGGGCTTGCAAAGAGATCATTCTGATTAAGCAAGAAAGGTAATCTACTAAAATTGGGATAGCATTGCACATCCTTCATTTTTTTTAAGTTGTGTAGCTACATGTGGGATTGGGTTCGAAAAATGCTTGACTACTTCAACAAGTAGCCAATGTTACTGGAATCTTTTATGCATTAACACAACCCAAACATGTTACAAATCAAATTTAAATTAAATTATTTTCAAAGTAAAGCATTTCATTTAGTCTTAAACAACTGCCCATAGGTGAACACAAATGTTAGGATCAAGCAACTTAAAATTGATCAGTTTAACACTGATGACAAGATATGCACATGGTGAGTCAAGACCAAAACATCGTGGCAAAATGTGATAAAGAAAGGAGCAGTTCACTCAATTCCACTTCATGTACAACTTACAGGTAAGATTTCAAGAGAAGTGGAATGATTGCAACAAAGTAAAATGAACGTGTAAGAGAACATTCCAAAATAAGCATTTTAACAGAGTGTTTATACCCACAACAAATGGTGCTCTGAACCATGCACATCGACACAGTTGCACCTGTGATGTCATGCCACACCATACCACAACAGTAATAACAATAAACAGTTTTCAGCTCCTGAATCTGAGGAACAACTCAAAAATTATGCCTCGAGAATACAGTTCTGAGGAAGGGTCACTGGACCCGAAACATTAACTCTGATGTTTTTTCTCTACAGATGCTGCCAGACCTTGAACTTTGTTAACAACTTACACAAACACGATAGACTTGGGAAGGAGAACAAAGTTTAAACATTTGCAATCTTCAATTGAGAATATAGTTAATACAGGAGATAAGTGAAACATGGTATAATAATAATAATAATAATGAATAAACTCGCTAAGTATTAATAGCTGTTAGCTTAAACAACTCTGAATTAAATTAATTGAAAAAACAATATTGTGATCTTTCACATCTGCATACGTTGCTCCATCTCACAGTGTGAACGTTTATAAACGCACCCAAATACAAAACAGAACAACCTACCATCCAAACAGAGGCACTGTGTACACATTTCACCTGTGTAAAAGGTACAAATCAGAGTGATTACTTTATTGAGCATACATCGTAATTAGAAACAATGATATTAGGTTATCAATTTCCTATTCATTCCTGTCCAGGACCTCAGGTAATTCTTTTCTTTTCTCTAAAAGGACGAAATTTTTAAAATCGAAAGCCTACCAAAAGCTAATTATGATAGAAAGCATAGGAAAGGCTGTTTCCAGTGGCTGGAAAGTTGAGGGATAATCAATTTTCAATTATCATACAGCGAAAGAGTAAAAAGCAGTTAGAAGAAAGTCATCTACGCAGAGCATTGTTTTATCACATAATTATTAACATTGCACTTTTTAAGGGAAAACTGAATAAATACTTGAAGCAAGATAAGATCCAGGACAATAAGGAGAATGCAGAATAGTAGAATTAGTTTGGTTTGTTTCAAGTGAAGAACCAATCCAAATATAATGGGCTAAATAGCTTCTTTCTAACTGCTAGAGTTCAAAGTTCATGCACAAGTCAGCTGCATACGTAACAAAAAATACAAGATGTAGGAGGAAAATAAAATTTTATGTTCCAGAAGTCCTGAACACAAAATTATTCAAGCTTATGCAATTCATCAAATCTTACCCAGGCTAAAATTCTCCATGCATGCTGCAATGGAATCAATCACCTTCCTGACATGGGATTTATCCACTACCAACATTTCTTCCTTTAGGCAACTGATGAGACAACTAACCACTTCTTCCTTCAAGTTTTCAGGAATGCCACTCAATGCACTGCAAAAGGAAATTAGTATCAATTGTGAATGAAGCATTTGGTGTAAAAATGTTAAAAATAAGCATTCGGTGTTGGTATGCTTCATTTAAAAATTTTTAACACAGTACAAAAACTACTTGTTGGAAGTCACTGCACAACAGATGCAATTCAACATGCCTCGTATATATTGCTGCTAAACAAAGGACTTGCATTAATTTATTTCTACCAAGTTAACAACTAAATCAAACAATGCAAACAACGTGCATGTCTCAGACAGAGCCAGCTCAAAAGATACTAAAGACAAAGTACACTGTTGAATCACATTCTGCATAAGTAGTTGGTCAACCCTTGCATAGCAATGTAAATATTTCAAACACAAAGAAAATAGAAACTATTTTTTATTCATTCACGGGATGACAGCATCACTGACTAGGGCAACATTTATTGCCATCCGTAAGTGCCCAGAGGGCAGTTGAGAGACAACTACATTACTGTAGGCCAGATCAGGTAAGCACAGCAGATTTTCTTCCCTAAAGGACATTAGTGAACCAGATGGGTTTTTCCGACAATCAGAAATGGATTCATGGTCATCAGTAGACTCTTACTTCCAGATTTTTTTAATGAATTCAAATTCCACCATCTGCCAATGATGAGATCCAAGTCCTGGTTCTCAGAACATTACCTAGGCCTCTGGATTAATAGTCCAGCAATAATATCACCGGGCCGTCGCCTTCCCGTGGTAATGGCAAATTTAAAATTAGGTTGGGCCAAGTAATGATGAAAATAAAATCTCTTGACGCTGGGAGTAACATTAGCATACTTTTGGCTGGAGTGTGGAAATACAATTTAAGTAGAACTTCCCAAAACATACTTCATAAAACTGTTTTCACTCTTCTCTGCCAACACATCATTGAAACATAACCAGTTTTAAACTGAAAATATTAAATTACAACATGAACACTAAAATGTTCTGAAAACCTATACATAGTTGCAAAAGTAAATATCAAGTTAACAGTTGTTCCTCAAGACAATGCAAATCTGACAACTATTGCAACAACAAATTCTCGATTAAATACACAGGTGTCAGTTGCTCCCATGCATGATCCAAGAGCAATACTTTTAAGGGAGTGTATTCCCAATGTTCCTTATCATTTTGCACAATAAGCCAGAATCATAGCAATTACACATTTGTAAGCTCTTACTTACATGCTTTTTGTTCACATATAGGCTGCCTGAAGATCAATACTAGCTCACAGTCAAGTCAAGATTAGAAATGACGATGTTAAATCCTGATAGCCAGACTACAAAAGGAAGAAACCAGAACTAATCTATATTCACAAAGTGAATCATTACAGGTCTCACCTTTTGCTATTAACTGCTTGTTTATATCTGAACAAATAACTACACAGTCAATACCTTCTATCTGCAAATATTTAATCTCAATTGACACAACTACCATACACCCAATATCAATAGTACCGGTGCAAAATAAGGGACAGCTCATGCTTCCACCATGGGGTTGATGGCATTATCGCTGGACTAGTTAATAATCTAAAAACCAAATGACTGTTCTAGGGACCTGGGCTCAAATTCAATAAAATCTGGAATTCAAAGTCTAATGATGACTGTGAAAACATTTACAAATTGTCATAAAAACCCATTGCATTCAGTAATGAAAAGTGCTGTTCTTAACTGGTTTGGCCTACCTGTGACTCCAGATCTGCAACAATGTAAGTGGCTCTTAACTACCTTCTGAAATGGCTTAATTCAGATATGTCAGATTGTTGAAAAGTCTTAAAAAAAAGGAATGAAACAAATAGATCACCTGACACCGATCTAGGAGAGACAAGAAAGAGGCAAATAGATAGAGAGAATCTCAGACTGATCAAGTAAATGGAATTGTATCTCACAATGTCCCAGACACCAGCATCAGTACAACTGGGTATGCCCTGTCCCACCAGCAGAAAAGATCCTGCAGAGGTGGCAGAACAGTTGGGAGGGAGTCATCCTAAGAATCTTCAACATCGACTCTGGAGCCAATTAAATCTCACAACATCACGAAGAATCAGTGTTCCTCCATGTTGAACACCACTGGAGGAAGCACTAAAGGCAGCAAGGGTGCAGAATGTACCCTTGGTGGGAAACTTCGATTTCCATCAAAGTGACTCTATAGCATCACTACTGCCCAAACTGGTCAAGTTCTAAAGCTGGTAGACCAAGTCTGCAACAGGTGGCAAGGGAATGAACAAGAGGGTAAAAAAGAAAATCACAATTCACTCCATCCTCTCCTATCTTCTTGTCAGGTACATCTGTTCATGACAGTATCATTAAGAACGAACATTGCACATTCTTTGTGCAAAGGAATCTCACCATCACATTGTTTCTGACACCACAACTGTGCTAGTTGAGACATACTTCAAACAGTTCTAGTAACTCAAGTCTCAGCATCCACAAGGTACTGTGTGTTTGAGTGCAACTCTGCTGCTGATGGTGCAATCTACAACCAGATGGCCTGCATATTCTCCATCCTAACATTATTACTTAGCCAGTGGGTAGCCGCGTGTTCAATGAAGAGTGCAGGAGAGCATACCAGAAGCAGCATCAGGCAGACCTAAAAACAAGGTATCAATCTGGCAATGCTACAAATCAGGACTAATGATTAAAAAGCACAAGTTGTAAGTGATAAGCTGGAAAATGCAATTCCACAACCATTGGATCAGGTGGAGTAGGGCTGTCACTATTGACCAGAAATTGAACTGGACTAGCCATATAAACATTCTGGGCAGAACAGCAGGTGAGAAATTAAAAGTCCTGCAGTCAGAAACTTATCTCCTGACTCACTGTTTAGAGAAGGCATAAGTCAGGACTATGAAGGAATACTCCCCATTTCCTTGGATGAGTTCAGCTTCACACAACAATCAAGAAGCTTGACACAATCCAGTACAAAGCAGCCTGCTTGACTGGAAACATATCTACAAAAAATCATTCCCTCCGCCAATGTCAACTGGCAAGTTACAAGATGCATTGCAAAACTTTCACCAAATTCCTCAGACAGAGCCTTCCAGCAAACACTATCATCTGGAAGAGGTAGGGTAGCAGTTACTTGGTAACATCATTAGCTGCAAGTTCCCCTCCAAGCCACTTACATTCCTGACTTAGAAACGTATTGTTGTTCCTTCAGTACTGTTCGGTCAAATTCTGGAACTCCCTCTCTAATGGCATTGTGGGTCTATTCACAGCAAATGGACTGCAGTGGTTTAAGGTAGCAGCTCACAATCAAGGATATCTTGGGATGGGAAAATAAATGCTGCCCCAGCCAGCAATGTCAACATCCCACGAATGAATAAAAAAATTGATTTAAAATGTAAACACTCAATTCCCATTTCAAAAAACCTATCTTTTGATCTTATTGTTTATTCACAAACACGGGGCAAATAATTTCCGAGCACAATCTCACACAATGTTTTTCCTCAACTGCATGATAAAGTGATAATAGTTTATATAATGAAAACAAAATTCTGGAAATGTCCAGCAGGTCACGGAGGTCAGCAGAGTGAGAAAATGAAATTAATGTTTCAGATCAATAACTTTCATCAGAACAAAAACGTCATGAAAGCTTATTGACCTGAAACATGAACTTTGTTTCTCTGTTTGTGCCTGAAGTATTTCCAGCATTTTCTGTTTATATTCCTGGTTTCCAGGATATGTCATGATTTGGTAAATCAATTTTCACCTTCCATCATCCGATTTTTAATACCCGAAATTTTCATGGACTAAAATGGCTTTAAACAAAAAAAAGAAGATACTGACAAATGATGGCTGCAGTAGTCACCTGACCAATTTGAGCCTAGCTCACAATACAAATTTGTGCTAAGCAAAGAAAGTGTGAACTGAAATTGATATTTAATAAAAAGGCACCAAACTCATTCAGATGTTGAGAAATCCTTGGTAGGCAAACAGGAGGCTGTAAGAACACAGCAAGTCAGGCAGCATCTGGAGAAAAGGAGAAGTCAAAGTTTTGGATATTACCCTTCTTCAGGGCTGTGGGTAGAGGCAGCTGCAGATAAAAAAGTTGGAGAGGGGTAGCAGAATGGTAATAATAGGTGCACACTGATAGTAGGTACAACCTGGTTGGTCAATGGGAGGGATGAACCTGGTTGGTAGCTAGAAGGGAGGGTCGGTAGGCAGAATGAAAGAGAGGAAGTAGGGCTGAAAGGAAGCCCGGGGACGGGTGGGAAGGTTATTTGAAATTAGAGAAATCCTTGCCTTCTATTTTTAATTTAAACCTTTGTGGAAATTTCACATATCGTAATGAAGGTCACCTGTAGATTGTCCAAATTGGAATAAAAATGATGCCATATGTGGAATATGCAAGAGAACTATATTTCAGAAAACCAACTTTTGGAAAGTGATGTGAGACGTATGAGTAACCACACAACTGGAAGACTTTCCCACTGTCTCTGCTTGTTTCCCCTGAACTTACATTAAAAAAAGCTGTGATTAAGTAAATTGAAGAAAGATCTATTCACCCCAAACTCAATGCTATTTACAGATTTCATCACTGATGAAGATACAAGTAATTCATTAAGCAATAACATTCTTGGGTTAAAATCTAACTTCATTTTGTACCAAACATATACCACTTTATAAACATTGTACCATTTATTTGTGTTCAATGTATCATTTTTCTCAGTATTAGTAAGAAAAAATTCCAGAGATAACAAGGTGTAGAGCTGGATGAACACAGCAGGCCAAGCAGCATCAGAGGAGCAGGAAGGCTGACGTTTCGGGCCTAGACCCTTCTTCAGAAATGGGGGAGGGGGAAGGGGGTTCTGAAATAAATAGGGAGAGAGGGGGAGGCGAATAGAAGATGGATAGAGGAGAAGATAGGTGGAGAGGAAACAGACAGGTCAAAGAGGCAGGGATGGAGTCAGTAAAGGTGAGTGTAGGTGGGGAGGTAGGGAGGAAGATAGGTTAGTCCAGGGAGGACGGACAGGTCAAGGGGGCGGGATAAGGTTAGTAGGAAGGAAATGGGGGTGGGGCTTGAGGTGGGAGGAGGGGATAGGTGGGAGGAAGGACAGGTTAGGGAGGCAGGGACGAGCTGGGCTGGTTTTGGGATGCGGTAGGGCGAGGGGAGATTTAGAAGTTTGTGAAGTCCACGATGATACCATTGGGCTGTAGGGTTCCCAAGCGGAATATGAGTTGCTGTTCCTGCAACCTTCGGGTAGTATCGTTGTGGCACTGCAGGAGGCCCAGGATGGACATGTCTTCTGAGGAATGGGAGGGGGAGTTGAAATGGTTTGCGACTGGGAGGTGCAGTTGTTTAGTGCGAACCGAGCGTAGGTGTTCTGCAAAGCAGTCCCCAAGCCTCCGCTTGGTCTCCCCGATGTAGAGGAGGCCACAACGGGAACAGCGGATGCAGTATACCACGTTAACAGATGTGCAGGTGAACATCTGCTTGATGTGGAAAGTCTTCTTGGGGCCTGGGATGGGGGTGAGGGGGGAGGTGCAGGGGCAGGTGTAGCACTTCCTGCGGTTGCAGGGAAAACTGTCGGTTGTGGTGGGGCTGGAGGGGAGTGTGGAATGGACAAGGGAGTCCCAGAGCGAGTGGTCCCTCCGGAAAGCAGATAAGGGTGGGGAGGGAAAAATGTCTTTGGTGGCGGGGTCGGATTGCAGATGGCGGAAATTCCACTTTCACTCAAGAAAGTATTGTTATCAAGCAAGCTATAATTAAAATGGTGTGATTGAGAAGAAAGCTAAAAGTAATTTCAAGTATTTTACGGCCAACAAGGGAGGTTCAAAAAAAAAAAGGGAGCAGATTCATAATGCCTTCACCTGGCCGTAACAAAATCTCTCAAGACTTATTAGCTCACTTACGAATGTACTGAAAACAGGATACAAATATTCTGTGAGTTACCTTGCTGTTGCTCTTTTCAGGGGGCTTCTGGATTCCAGACCCCAGTAAATTCTAACCAATATTTCCATACAGGTAGCACTCTGTGAATTACGCACATCATCTCCACCTAATTTTCTTAACAAACAGCCAATCTGAAAAGTGCAGAAAAACATATAAAGTGGTTTGTCGAAAATGTAGATTGTGTAAAATATAACAATTAAAGCTTCACCAGGAGAGAAAGCTTGCTCAATTCAAATTTGACTCAATTTCAATTAACAAGTGAGAAACCAATGAAATGTGTTCAGATTTCTAAATAGGAAATGGTGCTGTAGCTTTCCCAACGAGCAGTCACATAGCTTGCAAATCCCAGAGAAAAATAAGCTAATCAAGCTATTTAGTTTAAAAGTATTTCTTGTATATGATTCCAATAACAATGAAATAGAAAAAAAAAGTATCATATTTACCAGTGAGAAAAGTAAATAATATAGAAAGAAAAAGATACTCTTTAGTCTATGGTGGAAGAAACACTGTGATGGAGGACAGAGACTTAATTTACGCATAGCAGTGTAATTAATTGTACTGGAAGTATTTGAAATGGTGGATGATATCTAAAGCAGCAGTTAGTCATTTCTAATTTATGAAATCAGTCCCTGGGAGTAAATGTCTGACACCATTCATTATCAGATGGTAAGCATCTTCCTTCCATCACAAGGTCAAAGGTAGGGATGTTCGCTGATGATTCAGCACATTCATGACTCCTCAGACACTAAGCAGTCATGTCCAAATGCAACAAGTTCTGGACAATATCCAGACTCGGGCTGACATGTGGCAAGTAACATTCATGCCACATAAATGTCAGGCAATATTCATCTCCAATAGGAAACAAGCTAACTTGTGTCCCTTGACATTCATTTATGTTACCATCACTGAATCCCCTATCAACAACATCCTGGGGGTTACCATTGAACAGAAACTCAACTGGATTGGCCTTATAAATATAGTGGTTACAAGAGAAGATCCAAGACTAGGAATACTGCAGCAACTAACTCACCTCCTGATTCCCCTAAGCTATCTACAAGGCACAAGGCGGGATTGTGATGGAATACTCCCCACTGAACTGGATGGGTGCAGCTCCAACAACACTCAACAAGCTTGACACCATCCAGGGTAAAGCAGCCCGCTTGATTGGCACCAGATCCACAAGCATCCACTACCAACATTCAGACACTGTGGTGTATAAAATCTACAAGATGCACTGCAGAAATTCACCAAAGATCCTTAAACAGCACCTTCCAAATCTACAAGCACTTCCATCTAGAAGGACAAGGGGTGCAAATACAGTGGAACCCCACTACCTGCAAGTACCCCTCCAAGCCATTCACAATCCTGGCTTGGAAATATACTGCTGTTCCTTCACTGTCACCAGGTCAAAATCCTGGAATTCCCTCCCTAATGGCAATGCAGTCTACCTGGCCTGCAGCAGTTCAAGGTGGCAGCTCACCACCACCCTTTCAAGAGCAACTAGGGATAGGCAATAAATGTTGGAGAGTCAGCAACACCCATGTCCCATAAGCAAATAAAAAAAACATGAGAACTTCTAAGCTAATGCAAGTAGAAATGCCTGATACATATACCCTCACTGTTCACTGTCAAGTTAGAAAAGCAATTCTCTTTAAGGGTCAAATCAAACAGCTCCAAAGTCAACTGGCAACAGATGATGCTCACTGAACTTTGTATTTAGAAGCTGGGTTCATTTTGTTTGCCAGGCTTTGCATGTAAATTGATTAACTGGAGATGGTGATTTACTCGTGGTCTATAATAGATGAAAAGTACCATGGGTGATTTGGCGGTGTGAAAAATGCCATACGGTTGCTTGTAATAGCACTCTGGATATAAAAAGAAGAAAATTGAAAAAACAACAGAAACAAGAATGAGTTGGATAATCTGAAGGGTCTATTTCCATGCTGTATGACTTTATAGTCCGTTAGACATTCAATTCAAAAATGACTTCAAGACCTCGAACCCAATCTCAAGAAAAGGTAACAAAACATTTTAGAAGTAGCAATTTGCCGATCACGTCTTCTATAAAATATTGTTTGTTACAAATCCCTCATTTAATCCAATAATTTTTGAGTTAAATTTGAAATGAAGTGGTGTATTTACAGTGCTTGTTTTAAGACCCTTACACATTACTTTTTAAGGTCAACTGATTAAATCAGAGTCATGGAAAAAGGTATGAACATCACTTTCTGAAAACATAAATTGTGTCTTCAACTTCGTGACTATATTGTTCTGATACTGTTGTTCAGCAAAGTGGTTGAAATGAAGCCCAAACGAAGGAGCAAGACAAACTGACCTTCTTTAACAAACACAGTTGTTGTATTCCATCAGTGAGCTGTGTACATTCCAGCAGAAGATTTGCAAGACCATTCTCCTCAACACTTACTATGCCTGAGGGTAAAAAAAGATACATTTATTCTCCAAAAGTACAGTGATGTACGGCTAAGTGTATCTTGCAAGTGTACATGTGGTAAGCTGGATGCATATTATTCAAAACAATATATTGTAATTGGATGCAAAGTGAATAAAACCATTTACAGAGTTAAATGTAAAAGCATTTTAACTTTTCAGATTATGCAAAACCTTTTTGCACATGTAATACATTTAAGGAGCACAATATGTTCTAAAATCCTGAATCAAAGCAGTCTGAAGTACATATCATGAACTATTGCAAAGAAGCTCACTGATAAGAAGGTGGCTTTACTGGTTAAAAACATCAGCATTTCAGTTATTATCGACACTGCATCCAAACGCCACAACAAGACTTCATCACATGATTTAAAGCATAACTTCCACAGAGCACAGGTAGGTTGCCTCATTATAGGGAATGGTCCCCTTTGAATCAAGCATTAAGATGATAGTTATTCTAACGGTTCAGGTTCACAAAGTGCTTGACACTATTGAAAATTCGAAGTGTTTGGCCAATATTCCTCATTTCAGATTGTTACAAAATCAAATTCATCCCTTCGCTTTTTTGTAGGATCTTATGAACAAATATCCTGCCACAATTGTGTGACAGTAAATGCACGTTATAATGATGCATCACGTGTGTCATGAATATATGCATTTCTCAATGTTTGAAGTTTATTTACAGAATCAGAGTGCATCCATCACAGGAGGTCGACACTTGATTCATGCTCACGCCGGCTCTTTACAAAAGTAAAGAACTAGTCCCATTTCCTAGTCCTTTCCATGTAACTCTGGAACAATTTTTCTTTTCAGATAATTACTCCCTTCTAAAGTCACTGTTAAATGTCCACCACCACACTCAGTCAGTGCATTCTAGATCCAAACAATATGTTGCATAAAAAAAGTTTTGTTTTCCAACTGCCTTTGGCTCTTTTACCATTCATTTTAAATCAGTGTACGCTTCAATCAGTTCTGAAAAGACAGCATATTGGAATCAAAACGTTAACTCTGCTTCCCTCCCCACAAATGCTGCCAGACTTTCTCCTGAATTCCTCCAGCATTTTCTGTTTTTATTTCAAATTTCTGACACCCGCAGAATTTTGCTTTGAGTGTCACTTGTCCCTTCAGCTCATGGAAACAATCTCTCCCAATTTACTCTGTCCAAAATTTTCCAGATTTTCAGTTGAAGTTTTTCATCTTTTTGCAACTTTGTCTCTAAGGAATTCAACCCCAGTTTCCCCAAACCATTCACGTTAACTGAAATGCCTCATCCCTAGAACCATTCGTGCAAATATTTTATGAGCATTATCTAAGATCTCCGCATACGCCCTGACGTTACAAATTCAATATAAAATACCCTTTAACACACGGGCTCTACATCAAGACTGTACAAGTTGAAATTAGAAACCCAGGTGCACTAACACATTGTCCAATCCTGATTTCTTAATCGTGAGCTCTGTTTGCAAAGTGCTGCTGCTGCTTCATTGCTGAACAAATATTAGATCTGCCAAGGTCAGCTGGCCTCCACGGTAAGGCACACGGGTTCAAATTGTCCATATTGTCCATATCGTCCCGGGTTACACACTGTATGCCTCTGCGGCCTAAGGAGGAACAGCCTGGGCACTGCATCTGCAGCACACTCCGGATTCCGCTGCCTGTGACAGACACGGGTTTACTCACATCGCAATCTCGCTAGTTGATGCTGGTCGAGCACAATTCGACCAACGTCGAGGACTTTCTTCTTCTTCAGAACCATCGCCGCCACAGTTAGTTTTCAAACGGGAAAGGCTTCAAACGGGAAAGGCAAGAGCTCACTTGGAGATGACTTCAGGTTAGTCCTATTCTATGCTCACTTCAGGCAAGGGGCCAGCTTTCTAAAGAGGGACTGAAAGACACGACAGTTTAAAAATAAAAGCATTTAAAATGTGCTTCCCTCACAAAAGCCGGTTCCCTATCCGCCGCCACGCATCAACGACAACGCACGTGAACGTCAAAGCATCCCTTCACGTCCAAGCGTCTCTCCGCGAGATTCGGTCATATGGCCCGCCCCCAACGTGCACTAATCCCGCCCACACACGCCCCAACGTACACGGCTCCGCCCCACGCACGTACTCACCCCGCCCTCATGCGCTGATCCCATCCCGACTAGCCCCACACACTCTTGCCCGGCCTCACACGCACTGGCCCCGCCCCCACACTGGCCCCGCCCCACACACTGGCCCCGCCCCACACACACGCTGCCCCCGCCCCCCACACTCACTGAACCCCCTGCCTACTCTCACTGACATAAAAGCGCGTCCGGACGGCCTCTCGATAGGTGGAGGGCTACGTCAATCAGAGGATGTCAGTCTAGCATGTATGTTCCTTCCTCCGTGCTCCCAGGTGGATACAGTGCGCTAAGAATCCGCTGACAGCCAGCCAGCCAGCTGAGTGTGGGAAAGTCATCATCTCCTCGGTGCAGTCTCATCGGCATGGATAAGGGGATAGCAGTGGCAGCAGCCGGGGAGACCGCAGCTCGCCCCACGCCCAAAGCCCGCTTTGACATCTGCCCTCAGTTTCTGCTGGCAAATTTAACGGAGGGGAATAATAGCACATTGAATTAGTTAGACGGCTGCGGCAGTAAGCGAGACGTGGAATCTTGAAAGTGAGTACAGCATTTTTTTCAATATTCGTTATTGCATCTGATGTCATTTCACTGACAGCACAGTGCGGAAAAGATGAGGTTAAGGCGAATTTGGGAGTTCACACCAGTGTAGCGGTCATGGTTTGAATACAGTTCTTCCCCAACAAAGAAACATTTAGTGGGAACTCTTTGAACAAGTTGTTGTAAAGCATTACTCAGAGATGGTTACTTGGAGTCAATCATTTATTTGTTCAGTGTTCGTTTTTTAAGAGGGGGTGTTAATGAAAAAATACTTTGTTGTAAAACGTCCTCAGCGAATATTTCGAAGTGTGGTTATAAACTGGGCTTGGAAATTGTAGTCACTTGATAGTCTTTTGAATAAATAAATGACTTTTTTGTGAAAGCCACTGCAATGTTTGCAGAACTTTTGCGCTGTTTACGGTTTTGCTCCATACCAGACAACTGTTCAGCATAATTATACATTGAAAATTTGTTCCTTTTTACATGGATCGAAGAATTTACAATCTTTAGTGGTAAATTAATACCAGAACGTGTATTCTGTGTTTCAAACAGAATTTATTATCCGTTTACCATAACGTATAACTCGGGCTGTACAGAGCTGTATATTCTTACTAAGTGGTTTTCAGTTATTTTCAAATTTTTATTTGCTGACTGGTTTTCCAGTATTATTTATGGAAGGAAACCTGTCAAATATCTCAGTCTAACGAAATGCCATTCCAGACCCACATTATTATTAGGAATTCACTAGTGTCTCTCTTTAGGCAGATGGTGTCGGGCAATAAAATGTTGATCACAGAAATTAAGACTGTTTTTAAACTCATCACAGTTAACAACAGAAAATGCAAACTTCAGGTATGTGTCAAAAGTGCTTATTCTTGATTTTTGGGCAGTTTATTAACTTTAAAATAGTAGGAATTTGGCCTATTTTTAGCTGCAGGTGAACTAAAAAATTATCTTCATCCATATGCATGTGATGTACTTTTACTTTGTTACCCCCAGAATCCTTGATTGCTTTGTAGTTCAAATATCTGCCTTACTTACTCATCCTTTTTAATGTATTCAATGACCCAGCATCCACTGTTCTCTTTGAAAGAGAATTCCAAAGACTAATCATCATCTGAGAGAAGAAATTCCTACTCACATAGAACATAGAACAGTACAGGCCCTTTGGCCCACAATGTTGTGCTGATCTATTATCCTACTCTAAGACCAAACTCACCTGCATACCCTTCATTTTATTATCATTCATGTGCCTATCCAAGAGTCGCTTAAATATCCCTAATGCATCTGATTCCACGCATGCACCACTCTCTGTGTAAAGAACCTACCTCTGACATCTCCCCTATACCTTCCTCCAATCACCTTAAAATTATGCCCCCTCGTAATAATCATTTCCGCCCTGGGAAAAAGTCTCTGGCTATCCACTCTATCTATGCCTCTCATCATCTTGTACCCCTCTATCAAGTCACCTCTCATCCTTTTTCACTCCAATGAGAAAAACCCGAGCTCCCTCAACCTTTCCACATAAGATCTGCACTCCATTCCAGACAGCATCCTGGTAAATCTCCTCTGCACCCTCTCTAAAGCTTCCACATCCTTCCTATAATGAGGCGACCAGAATAGAACTCAATATTCCAAGTGTGGCCTAACCAGGGTTTTCTAGAGCTGCAGCATAACCTCACGGCTCTTAAACTCAATTCCACTGCCAGTGAAAGCCAATACCATACGCCTTCTTTACAACCCTATCAACTTGGCAGCAACTGTGAAGGATCCATGGACGTGGACCCCATGATCCCTCTGTTCCTCCACATTGCCAAGAATCCTGCCATCAACCCTGTATTCTGCATTCAAATTTGACCTTCCAAAATGAATCACTTTACAGTTTTCTGGGTTGAATTCCATCTGCCACTTCTTTGCCCATCTCTGCATCCTGTCAATGTCCCCTTGCAACCTACAACAGCCCTTCACACTATCCACAGCTACACCAGCATTCGTGATATCGACAAACTTACTAACCCACCCTTCCACTTCCTCATCCAAATCATTTATAAAGATCACAAAGAGCAGAGGTCCCAGAACAGATCCCTGAGGAACACCACTGGTCATGAGCTCCAGGCTGAATACTTTCCATCTACTACCACCCGCTGTCTTCTATTGGACAGCCAATTCTGTATCCAGACAGCCAAATTTCCCTGAATCCCATGCCTCCTTACGTTCTGAATGAGCCTACCATGGGGAACCTTATCAAATGCCTTGCTAAAATCCATATACACCACATCCACTGCTCTACCTTCATCAATGTGTTTTGTCACATCCTCAAAGAATTCAGTAAGTCTTGTGAGGCATGACCTGCCCCTCACAAAGCCATGCTGACTATTTCTAATCAAACTATGCTTTTCTAAATAATCATAAATACTATCTCTCAGAATCCTCTCCAATAATTTGCCCACCACAGAAGTAAGACTGACCGGTCTGTAGTTCCCAGTATTCTCCCTATTCCTTTTCTTGAACAAGGTAATAACATTTGCCAACGTCCAATCATCTGGTACTACTCCAGTGGATAGTGAGGACACAAAGATCATCGCCAAAGGTGCAGCAATCTCTTCGCTCGCTTCCCGTAGTAACCTTGGGTATAATTCTATGATCTATGATTCTATGATCTATGATCCCGTCTGGCCCAGGGGACTTATCTATCCTCATGGTTTTCAAAATTTCTAGCACCTCCTCCTTCCTAACATCAATCTGTCAGAGCATATCAGCCTATTTCACGCTGTCCTCACAAACTACAAGGTCCCTCTCACTAGTGAATACTGAAGCAAAGCAAGGCACCTCAGCCTTTAAATTGGAGATGCCTTTTCTAAACTGTGCCCACCCCCTACTCCGACCCCCAGTTTGAGAGACCCCAGAGAGGGAACCATCTTGAGGTACATTCTGTCAATCTCTCTCAGAATCGAAAGTTTCAACAAGGTTGATTAGTACAGGCTGTTATACTCAATCCTTCCTCACAAACCAAACCCTTCATCCTAGGAAATAAGATGCAAGTTGTTTTTAGGATATTGCTATGGCACTTGCTTCAACCGGAGTTTTACATTTGGGTTTGCATTTCTTGCCCGTCCCTGGTTGATCTTGAGAAGGTGCTGGTGTGCTGCCTTCTTGAACTGCTGCAGTCCACCTGATGTGGGTTGACCCACAATGCTGTTAAGGAGAGAATTCCAGGATTTGGACTCGGCGACAGTGAAGGAATGGCAATATATATCCAAGTCAGGATGGGAGTAACTTGGGGAACTTGAAGGTGGTGGTGTTCCCATATATCTGCTGCCCTTGCCTTTCCAAGTGAAAGTGGTTGTGGGTTTGGAAGGTGCAGTCTGAGGATCTTTAGTGAATTTCTGCAGTGCATCTTGTAGGTAGTACATACGGCTGCTACTGAGCAAATTTGGTGCAGGGATTAGATGCTTGTGGATGTAATGCCAATTAAGCGAGCTGCTTTGCCCTGGATGGTGTCAAGCTTCTTGAGTTGTAGGGGCTGCACTCATCCAGGTAAATGGGGAGTATTCCATCACACTCCTGACTTGTGCCTTGTAGATGGTGGACAGGCTTTCAGGAGTCAGAAAATGAGTTACTTGCCACAGTATTCCTAGACTCTGACCTGCTCTTGTAGCCATTGCACTTACGTGTTGAGTGCAGTTGAGTTTCTGATCAATAATAACTCCCAGGATGTTGATAGTGGGGGATTCAGTGATGATAACACCATTGAATGTCAAGGGGCGGTGGTGTGCTGTCTTTCATTAACTAAGTAGACTTTCCATATTATCTGAAACCTTTTCAGAATGCTGTTATAAAGTAAATTTAGGAAATATACAATTCTTAGGTTTATGATAATTATGTGCATGTATTTGGCTTATACTTGGGACATATTTCACTGCACACAAACAAAGCTCTGTATAGTACTTTTGCATGTAGAGTGTAAGTAAAGAATTTCGGGTTCTTCTCATTGCTTTGGATTTTTAAAAAATCTACTAAAATGTATTTACTAAGTGAGCTGTTAATGTAACAGATACTTAATTGTTCTTTCATATATATGGTGAACCTTGAACCATTAGAGAAATGAGTTAAATGTGCTTGGAGATCAGTGACCATAATGATTAAAATTCCCAAACATAATGAATAATATTTTACTCATTCTGTTTTATTAGAAATATGTGAAAGAAGGTTTGCATTTTGCAGTGCTTCATTACATCTCTTAAATGCCAGAAAACCCTTCTTAGATTTCTTTTTTTTTGTTCATGGGATGTGGGCATCACTGGCTAGACCAGAAAGTTAATCTGGAATGGTAGTTCAAGTTAAACTGTTCCAATAGGATATGGGGATAGAGTTGTCCATCTCTAATTGCCTAGAGGGCACTTAAGAGTCCACCATGTTGCTGTGGGTCTGGCTCTATGTTGAAGAATTTCTACTGTCACCACTTGGAAGAGTCATATCCTTATGATGCTCCATATCATAAATAAAATTGCTTTACCATTTGTAAGAAAAAAGATCTGGATTCTTTTAGGGCTGTTGTGGTGCAGTGGCTTTGTTCCTACCTCTAAGCTGGGAGACGTGGGTTCAAGTCCCATCTGCTTCAGAGGTGTGTAATAATATCTCTGAAGCAAATTAATTGAAACAAAAAGAACACAACTCTTGATGTTTTCTAATCATCCTGTTTGGAAATGTTGTTTGTGCCTCTGGACCAGGTGGGACTTGAACCAGGACCTCCTTGCTCACAGATGGTGACACTACGACTACGTTTGATTCGATCTCTACCTCTTATCCCACCCTTCCTTCAGTTTTATTATTGTCACACTGACCTCGGTGTGCAGAATTTGTAATTACTCGGTTTAATTTGTTAACTGGGTGATTTTAGTGGTCATTCTTTTTAAAACATGGTGGGTTCTTGAGTGAAGTGGGCAAGTTGAGGGACCTCCTTGTGGGTCTGTTATTGGGCCTGGCTGAGGTAGCCATTAGGAGGTGCAGGCAGGGGTCATAGTTCTCGACTGCCTGCCTCTCTTTGTTTGTGTCCAGGTCTCCTTTGTGGGGGGAACACCAACACCTTAGGCTTTTAGAGAGATATGAGCACTGTGGGGGCTGGATGCATTATTTCCACCTCCAACTCCATTTGAATTTTGTGACCTCCCTCCTTTCCCATCCTTCATTCATTTTTTGTGATTGCTGTACTTCCGTGGTGGACTGTGCTGGAAATGTGTTTTTGTGTTAATTGGATAATTGGTTGAATTGGTGGTGGAGTTACAAAAACAAAACCTGGGCTCATTAATCTCCTCTCTTTTCCTACCCTTCTACTGTTCTAGTGTTGAATCAGAGATAGTAGGAACTGCAGATGCTGGAGAATCCGAGACAACAAGGTGCAGGGCTGGATGAACACAGCAGGCCAAGCAGCATCATAGGAGCAGAGAGGCTGACGTTTCGGGCCTAGACCCTTCATCAGAAAAGGGGGAGGGGAAGGGGGTTTTGAAATAAATAGGGAGAGAGTGGGAGGCGGATAGAAGAGGGATAGAGGAGAGGATAGGTGGAGAGGAAACAAACAGGTGGAAGAGGTGGGGATGGAGCCAGTAAAGGTGAGTGTAGGTAGGGAGTTAGGAAGGGGATAGGTCAGTCCAGGGAGGACGGACAGGTCAAGGGGGCGGGATGAGGTTGGTCGGTAGGAGATGGAGGTGCTCAATACCATGAATGTAGATATTATCACGGTTGGGGCCAAATTGGGAAGGCTTGAATGTGGATTGTAGTCCATTGGGGATGATCTGGTTCCGTAGGCAGGTGCTAAGGAAGGTGATGTGGCTGTAGTACCTAGTTTGCTTCAGGACGTGGTCGAGCAGTTTCAGGGCCGAAGAGATTACGAGAGAGTTGCAGTGGGAGAGAGATCCCTTGAGGTTTGTCCGGTTCTACTGTGCCTGGAGGGCAGTACTCATAATTGCTACTAGTTTAATCAGTCAAACGGATGATTTGATGGTACATTTTTCAAAGAAAAGGCTCCTTCCCAGCAGGGTGTTGCCTTCTGGATAGGGAACGAGTCCATAACAGAAAATGGAAACTGGTATTTGTACTAAACAATAGATTTATAATAAAAACCCTTGGGAATCTCTGAAAGTCTGTTGCTGCGAATTCAACATATAGGTGTTGTTCTATGAACTATAGTTTAGCTTTCAGCTGACTGAGGAAAAGAATATTTGAATACCAAGATTTTGTACCCGAGATTAAGGTTTTGTTTTACCTGGCAGCAATGATTCATGCACTCCGCTATTCTTCAGAGACCTGCAATGACCTACAGCAGACATCTTAGAGTGGAGAAGTACCCCCTGTAGTATCTTCATAAGAGCCTTCAAATTTCTTGGCAAGAAAGTTGGTCCAGCCTTTTCCAAGCCAACTTGCTCTGTATTGTGATGCTAATTATTCAAAACCTGCTTTATTGGGTAGGACACATCATTTGTATGCCTGACACCAGACTCCCAACTGAACTGCGCTACTCGGAATTCGGTCATAACAGATGATTTCCCCAGCAGCCTACCAAAATGCTCTTGCGGGTCCTCCCAACATCGCTGAAAAGTTTATACATGCTGCTGGCTGATTGAGTGAGTGGGGATGTGATTTGCATTGTGTTGGTAATACTGAAAAATGTACTAGCTATTCATGCTATTCATTCCTACTGATGGGCAGTTAGCCAGCCAGAGCACTGTCACAATATGCTGAATGCTATAATTATTCAAATGAGATGGTAGCATTAAGTTTGTAAAAGCTGCCTGCTTCAATAGCTCTAAGCACAGACTAATCACAAATTATGGTTTCCCTGTCCAAAATCTGAAGTGATTTCCATGTTAAGCTCATGGAGTGTAAGAGAGTGAAAAAACCTCATCAGAAACATTGATGCTTATTCATTTGTTGAACTTTATATGTTTAGAGGATTTTAATTTGTTTTCTACATCTTACCTTTCTAATCCATCAGGACGTTGCTGATGCTCCGATGATATTTCATCCACAGGATTATGTAACATACTGTATACTGCACTCCTTAACATTTTAGTGTTCACAACCAGGTAAAAGTATTATGCTACAAACAACTGAAATGTATCACAATAGTGGGGTTAAATTAATGCTTCACCACAATGCTGCTGAACATTTGTACAGTTAGTGGGCCGATAACGGAACGTAGAAGCTGAATGTGAAACTGTTGACCCCAGAAAACACTGAGGAGCTCCAAAAGGGATTACACAGGTTGGAGAACCATGAAGTCCCTCTTTGAGTCTCCAGCAGACTGGTGGGAAATAGTCAAGGGGAGCATCAAGAGGTTCTTTAGCCTTAAAGGTGTTCAGAAGGCAAAAGACAGATGGAGAAAACTGCCCAAACTCCAGAAAAGCCTGCATAACCTACTCCTGCAGCAGACGATGGCGGTCAATGTCACAGAGAATCTCCAGGAGGTGAAGAGCGAGCAAGCTGTGCTGTATACCTTTGAGGCCTCCAAGATCATCTTCTGGCCCAGAGTCCGTACCATGGAGCGGGATGAGACACATTCGTGTTCCTTCTTCAAGGTGCACAAGGAGAGTTCTGTGCTCGCAGCCTGAAGGAAGAAGGTGGCTCAGTAACGTCATCTCAGGCTGATGTCCTGAGGATCAGTAAATCCTTCTATGCCAGACTGTATAACACTAAGCCCAGGACCAGCGCAGGAGCTGGACCAGCGTTTTCTCTGGATGAGCTGGCCAATGCCCTCCAGTCCTTCAAAGAATAAAACTCCCAGATGCAATGGTTTGCCAGCCAAGTTGTGGAGCTTGATTGGCAGGACCTGCTGGAGGTGTACAATAGCATGCTCCTGTGTGTGCGAATCCATGAGGAAAGCTATGATGAACCTTCATCTACAAGCAGAAGGGGAAGAAGGAGGAAATTAGAAACTGGTGGCCAGTTTTACTGCTGAATGTGGATTACAAAATACTGTCTAAGGTCATCGCCAACCAGGTCAGGCCTGATCTGGGATTGGTAACTCACCCTGACCAAACCTGTGCTGTATCAAGAAGGATGATCTCTGAGAGTCCTCAGGGAAATGTTCACCTACATGCAGGACAAGGGGGTGAACATCTGCCTCATCAGCCTGGACCAGGAGATGACCTTTGACAGGATGTTGCACACCTACATGTGGGACATACTCGCCAAAATAGGCTTTGGGGAGGGAATCAGCAATTGGATCCAACAGCTCTACACCAACATCATTAGTGCAATCTCTAGATCCACTTTAGCCATCTTCATCTGATGGGAGAGCTAATTGTCATTTCCTGCTCAGCTTACCAAGAAGAAATGCATTTGAGGCTTGATGACTTCAGTCGACCACAATGTGTACAAATAAAGGAAGGTGCCACCAGTTTCAGACAGGTTAAAATTCTGACAACAGGTTCAGCATGGCAAAAGTCACCAGAGCAAGTTTCATGGTACACCACCACCTGCAAGCTCTCCTCTAAACTACACAACATCCTTATTTTGAACTATAATTAGTGGCTGGGTCAAAATCCTGGAACAGCTTTCCTAACTGCTAGCACATCAGAAAGCATCCCAATGAGATCTGGCGTGAGGTCAGGCTGCACAGCCTCTCCTGCCTTGTTTGTTTGTTGCATAGAGTTTTCTGCTGCATCCATCAGGAGGGATGTGAGCCTGAAAGGGGTGACTGTTCCAGGTAGTGGAGGCCTGCAGGTCATAGCCTCCCTGCGCATGGATGACAAAGCCGTTTTCTGCTCATATCCGCTATCATGAGCATCTGCAACCGGTTTGAATTGGCCACGGGAGCCAAGGTAAATTGAGGCAAGAGTGAGGCCGTGTTCTTTGGGAACTGGGCCAATTGATCCTTTATCCCCCTCACCATCAAGACAGATTACCTGAAGGTGCTAGCAATATGGTATGGGGGGTTCGGGGCATATGCAAAAATTTGGGAGGAGCATATTGCCAAGGTTAGGCAGAAACTGGGCTTTTGGGAGCACCGCTCCCTCCATTGTGGGTTTTGAAGCCTGGTTATCAGATGTAAGGCACCCTCTCAGTTGCTGTACATGGTGCGGGTTTGGCAGTTCCCTGAACCTACAGCATTGCAGTTATCCAAGCCAGCTTCCACTTCCATCTGGAGGTGTAAGATGGACCGTGTCTCCAGGGACACTATGTACAAAGCTCTGGATAAGGGGTGGGGTGTGGAGAACCTGTCAAATGCCGCCCTCATCCTGATGGCCACCTTTGTGTGTTGTTGCATCAAGCTGAGCATTGACCTGCGATGCACAAACTCCAAGGATCACTACATACTGAGGCTCTACCTATCCCCGGCATTGCAAAGGATGGGGCTGGCCTTGTTGCCATGGAATGCTCCAAGTAGTTGGACCATTCGATATCACCTGTCTTTCATGGAGAAATTTGAAAGAAAAACACCTTTGACCACTAGTCCATCAGGAAGTGGTCAGCACATAGCATCCTCGAGACCCTAAGAGGAAAAGGAGAGGGTGGATCCTGTCGGGTTGTTCCCTGAACAGACTGTCAAAGTCATTTGGCAGAATACCTCATCACCAGAATGTCCCAACAAGCACCATGACCTGCTTGGCTGGTGGTAAGGGCAGTACCTATGACATCCATCCTGTATGCCCAGACTGTCTGCACCACCACATACTGCCCTCAAGGCAGCTGCAGTGGGGTTTGAGACTGTCACACATCTCCTGCTGGAATGTGCCTGCAGAGGAATTCTCGAGAGAGATGCAGTGGTTTTTGTTGAGGTTCATCCCGAGCAGCTCCGTGACACACAACTTTGTGCTCTGCAGTCTATTTCCAGGACACACACACACTGAGACAAACATCAACTGTGACTGAGGACCATCAACTCGGTGAAAAACACTGTTTGGTTTGCCTGAAAATTTTGGTCTTCCAGAGCAAGGAGTTGACCTCAACCAAGTTTTGCAGACTGGCACATTCCAACATCCAGGACTGTGCTGAGGGACGCACAAAAGCCTGGGGCAGCTACCACCAAGGCGCAGTAAGGAAAGATCATCTCTAAGGTTTTTCTGCTGAAGTACATGGAGGTCCGTTCAGTTATCAAATCCTTCAGTGCCTCAAATGCATGTAAATCTAGTCTTCTACAAGCAAGAAATGCATTGGTTTTATTTGTTCTTATGTAAAGGCTGTATACAGAATCAAACTGCTCTGGTGACTATGTATATAAAGAACTTCCATGAGTAAAGTATGTTTTAGAAATAAAGATTATCCTTAGTACTATTGAGTACCAAAATTAATTTATGTTGATACCTATATAATTTGTGCTCCATTCTTAATTTTTTTTTTTTTTTTTTTTTTTTTTAACAGCATCTACGATACTGGATCGCAACGTTTCTACATTTTTTAACCAGGCAGAGACTGACCATGGCTGAGGATTCAGAGAAAACTGGAGAGATAAACTGGAAGGACCGGTGTATGACTCTTGAGTCACAGTTGCTCAAGTTTCGTGCGCAGGCCAGCAAAATTCGAGAGCTTCTTGCAGAGAAGGCAAGTAAATATAAATAGTTGAGATGGGAATGGCTTTAGGGGAGAGACAGGTTGGCATTGCAACAAGATTACTGTCTTTCAACAGTCCTTGCTGGCCTGCTATCCTTACGCCTGTCGGTAAGTTGTGGAATATATAGATTTTTTTTGTTCTTGATGTTAAATAAACCTGATGTAATTAAGAGACCTCAAGAAAACCAAAAGCTCTTACTGGATCATAGGCTTCTAGCGTAAAATTAAGAATTTTGTGAGGTTGATTGCAGTTACTTTTATAAATAAGAATTTGAACAAAAATAAATGGTCATTACATCATCAAAGCTAAAGGTGAAGTGATGCTATTCTGATTCGATGCATAGAATGAATTTAATATACTTGTCTAGTGGAAACCAGGCAAATGGGCAGTTTTTCCCTATTCGCTGTGGGCATGGCTGGCTATGCCATCATTTATTGCCTATCCTTAATTGGCCTTGAGAGGGTGATAATGAGTTGCCTTCTTGGAAAACTCTAATCCATGGAGGTTATACACATCCACAGAGCAGTTAGGAAAGCTGTTCCAGGATTTTGACCCAGCCACTAATTATAGTTCAAAATAAGGATGTTGTGTGGTTTAGAGGAGAGCTTGCAGGTGCTGGTGTACCATGAAAGTTGCCCTGGTGACTTCTGCCATGCTGAACCTGTTGTCAGAATTTTAACCTGTCTGAAAATGGTGGCACCTTCCTTTATTTGTACACATTGTGGTCAACTGAAGTCATCAAGCCTCAAATGCATTTCTTCTTGGTAAGCCGAGCAGGAAATGACTATTAGCTCTCCCATCAGATGAAGATGGCTAAAGTGGATCTAGAAAAGGAGGTTTTGTTTTTTTTTAAAAAAATGTTCCATGAGTTCAGGAATACTGCTCTGTACTCTGCTAGTAAACTTTAAAAGCCTGGACCAAATTCCAAACTATCCTCTCCACATCTTAACCTCGGTGCCAGTGATAGATATTTTTACATCAGGTGCCCATCCCTGTCACCTGAGACCTAGAGGGAGACTTGGACCAAGAGACAGAAGTGCTGTCTTTGAAACAAGGCTGAAACCTACTTAACGTTGGAAGCTGTCTTTAAAAACAACTTTGTTTCAAGGATTGAAGTAAAGACTGCTGGAAGATTTGTGCCCTTGAAATGTAGCATCTTGGTATTATCTACACAGTTTTTTCACAAAAATGTGAAGTTTCCAAAACATTATTTAAGAAGTTAGCATACATTCATGAAATCTTGCTTTGTCTTAAAAAATAAACGGTTTCCTAGCTATATTCAAGTCTGAATCATTGCTCTCTTTAGACATTTATCATGCCATGTGTTTCCATTTAGTTGAAACTTCTGAAGTATTGTTTATTTAGAATTGTTCTCCAACAAACTTGTTCACAATACACCACATTGCTTTGAATTTATGTGAGAAAAGAAAATCATGCCTGGAGCATATATCTTCCAAGCAGACAATGTTTCATGTCTCATAATTGTTAATTGATGCATTAAACAATTCATCATAACTAGTTCCCAGAAAGATTCCAAAGATGAAATTTTAGTACTAAGTCTTCTGCCATAAATATTATTTAATATAACTTTTTTTTTTTGGTCATTTGCTTACCTCCTATTCCCACTGATCGTTCAAACTGTTGCAGTCATTATGAAAGTTCCCATCACTCCTTTAATTTTGTGTCATATTCCTCCTAGGCTGAGACTGATCTACAAGTGCCCTGCTCAAGCTGTGAAACAATAGGGGTATAGCTCAGAATTCCCCACATTGAGGAAATTTATTATCTACTGCAGACACTTCTGTTTTTCTTTCATAAAAAGTTCGGTGGGCTGTTAAATCTTGAGTTGGAATTGTAGCTTTGATAGTCATTTGTACTTCACAGCTACCATCATTATCTACTCCTCAAAATATCAAGCTTTGGACAGTTTGTCCTTGCAAACTACCACCTGTTCTCCAACCTCCCTTTCAACTGTCAAGTGCTTAAGCGTATTGTTATTCGCCAGATTTATATCTCACTTGCTACAAACTTTTTTTTGGGATTCCAGACAAACTGCTTTCTGTCCCTACTACAACAGTGAAATGGATCTAATCAAAGTCTTGAGCACCCCTTTACGTTCATGGTAAATTATCGATCATCAACCATTGCAGCATTTGGCATGATTCATGGCTCTATATTCGTCTGGCAACTATCTGTTTTTCAGCTAGCAAGACTTCTCTCACTTCTTCTACAAGATGGGAAGTGGTATTCCACAGAACCTGATACTAGAATCAATGTCGCTCACCATTTAGGTAAACAATTTGGCCTTCGGAATAGCAAGTGCAATTTCAAAATTTGCAGACCTCTCCAAATTGGGCAGTGTAATTAACTAAATAGAAGATCTTGAGAAATTGCAGAATGGGTGTGTAATTGGCAACTGAACTTCAGAAATATGATACATTTGAGGATGCTACATTCTGTTTGAACAAATGGGACCACAATTTCCAGAGAAAATAAGTGCCTAAATTGGACAGAATAACAGATAACAAGCCGTTAATGACGAGGAATAGAGATGTCTTCAAGCAGAAGGTGAGTTATGAGAGTAGTGAATGGTAGAGCAAACTTGAGGGGCTACACAATCTAATTCTGTTCCTATTGCTTATGTTTCCATTTGTGGGATGGACCAATCAGCCCACTGAGTCCACTCCAACCCTTTGAAGAGCGTCCCACCCAGACCCATCCTCTATAATGCTGCATTCCTCATGACTAATGCCAATTTAGCATGGTAAATCTACCTAATCTGTGCATCTTTGGACTGTGGGAAGAAACCAGTATTCCCAGGGGAATTGAAGCCAGATCCCTGGTGCTGTGAAGCAGCAGTGCTAACCACTGAGCCACCGTGCCACACCACAAAATGAGAACCATGAACACAAGATCATTGCTAGTAGAACTAATGGGGAATTCAGGAGAAATTCACATAGTCCAAAGTCATTCAAATTTGGAATTTGCTACTACAACGCTCTGTTACTACAAAGCTTTAATGCAAGACTTCCACACCTTACTAGGGAGATCCCACTCCCCCAAGAAAGGTGTGGAAGTCTTGCATTAAAATACTTAACACTACTTCAAGTGTTATATTGTTGCCAAGTGGCAGTTGGGATCATGGCCCAGCTTCCACAGGTGAGGTCTAATCAAGGTTCAATGTACATTGAGCATAACTTCTTTACTTTTCCTTTACACATTGCTCTCCGTATTCTGGGTGTTGATTTGCTGTAGTTCATTTTTTAAACTTTCAGCAATACCTGATCTTTTTAAATGTTTGTTAATTATTATATCCTTTCTGTTATTCATTTAGCACTCTAATGTATGCCAAATTTTAAAAAAAAAAGCATGTTAAACATAAATGTGCTAAATGAAATTACTTTTACACAAGAAACCATATAATGAGTGTAGGTTACATTCCTAGCATATCTAGGACAAATGTAGATCAGTCTAAGCTCAGGAGGAAAAGCCACAGAAGATTACAGGACTGATAAGCACTTGAATAATGACTGCAACTGTGCAAGTGGTCAGGGGAAATCACAATTGAGAGGAAAGCAAATTATCCAAAAATATTTTAAAAATTCCTAATTTTTACATTTCAGAACCTATTGCCAGCCTTGGACCTAACTTGCCCAATGATCCTCATCCTTCTGCCAATTGCCTCTCCTATTTGTGACCCTCCAATTGCTGCATCGTTTCAGTGAGCGGGATAAACTGAGGAAGAGAGCGAGAGGGGTTATCCAGTGGGAGAATCGGAAGGAAGAGAACCAGCAGTGAGGGGAGCAAGTAAAGTGTTGGCAAGCTAAAGAGGCAGTTGGCAATTGGGAGAGTAGGCAAGTGGTCCAAGAGCCCTTGAATACCACTTGGTTAGATGCAAAAGGATGAGAGGAGGCTAGTTTGGAGTGTAAAAATTGGAAGGGACCAGCTGAACAGAATGACTGACTGGTTTCTGTGCAATAACCACTATGGCTTAGTTTTTTTTTCCAGGGATTGCTGGAGAAACTCAGCAGACCTGGCAGCATCTTTGGAGAGAGAAACAAGTTTAACATTTTGAGTCCAATGACTGTTCTTCAGAACTCGAGGTCTGGAGGTTCAAATGTTTAAGGAAACCACTGGGACAATGTCCCAGAGAACCAAGGCACACCTTTTAGCCAGGGATAGTAAGAACTGCAGATGCTGGAGTCAGAGATAACAGTGTACAGCTGGAGGAACACAGCAGGCCAGGCAGCATCAGAGGAGCAGGAAAGTTGACGTTTTGGGTCAGGACCCTTTTTCAGAAATGGAGAGGGGGAAGGGAGCTGGGAAATAAATCGACAGAGGAGGGGTGGGACTGGGGAAGGTAGGTGGGATGGTGATAGGTGAGTGCAGGTAGGGACTGGTGGGGATTGGTCAGTGAGGTGGGAGAGAAGATGGACAGGTCATGTCAGGTCAAGGAGGCGGGGCTGAGAGGGAGGGTTGGACACTGGATGAGGCCGGAGGTAGGAAGATTTTGAAACTGGTAAAATCCACATTTCGGCCATTGGGCTGTCGGCTCCCGAGGTGTAATATGAGGTGCTGCTCCTCCAGTTTCCGTGTGGCGTCATTGTGACACTGGAGGAGGCCCAGGATGGACATGTCGCCCAGGGAGTGGGAGGGGGAGTTGAAATGGTTTGCGACTGGAAGGTGTTGTTGTTTGTCATGAACAGAAAGCAGGTGCTTTACAAAGCCATCTCCGAGCCTACGCTTGGTCTCACTGATGTAGAGGAGGCCACATCGGGAGCAGTGGATGCAATCGACCATGTTGGTGGATGTGTAGGTAAAACTGTCTAATTTGGAAGGTTTGTTTGGTGCCTTGAAGGGAGGTGAGGGGGAGAGGTGTAGGGGGCAGGTGTAACAATTCCTGCAGTTGCAAGGAAAGGTGGGGCTAGTGGGGAGTGTGGAGCGGACGAGGCAGTTGCAGAGAGAGCGGTCCCTATGAAAGGCAGATGGG